AAAGGTAAAAAGCCAGATTCCTTGAAAAAGCTAAGTCGCAGCGCCCCTAAAGGGTCAGAAAATACAATTCAACTATTCAACAAATATGGATCTCTTGAGGATATGGACGTGTCCGAAAACGTCCGTTCTAGGGCACACAGCTTGTCGCCCACCAAAAAAGTGCGGGGTAGATCCCCACTAAATCCCCCTAAAAGATAAGTTATCAGAATAATATCATACAGTGGAATTGCAGAGGACTAAGGACTAATTTCCATGAATTGCAGCTTTTAGTCCAGGATTTAACACCATCAGCGTTCTGTCTGAAGGAGGATTATTTATAACCGACAGATGACTTTGTCCTGCGTTCTTTCAATGCATATCATTGTTTTTCACCTCCGGGTGACAGGGCCAAGGGAGGATCTTCCATCTTAGTCAAACAGAACGTTATCCTTAGCCCAGTTTCACTAACTACTAATCTGCAGGCTGTTGCAGTGCGAATTACTTTACATGTTGCGTTTACATTGTGTTCTGTATATATCTCTCCGTCTTCAACGTTTCACAAAACTGATCTTCAAGCTCTATATGACCAACTCCCGAAGCCCTGTATTATTATGGGAGATTTAAATGGGCACGACCCACTCAGAATTACTAAATGAATTTGAATGGTCAGTCAACGATGACCTCTGTGGAAGTGACCATTTTCCTACTTTACTAAAACCTGTCAACCCATCTGATATTACCCCATATTCAAGATGGAACTTTAAAAAGGCTAACTGGCCTTTGTATCAAGCTCTGTGTTGTAGCAGACCTAAACCTGAACTTTTTATAGAATGTACTGATCCTATAAAGGATCTCTCTGATGAACTAATTAACATTGCTGATGAGTGTATCCCCAAATCCTCTGCAATTCCACACATACGAAAACCATGGTTCAACAATGAGTGCAAACAGGCTAGGAAGGCACGGAAGAAAGCTGATAATTATTTCCGTCATCATCCTATGGTCCATAATCTGAATACGTTTAAAATTTTAAATGCTAAGGCACGGCGTACCTTCAAGCAACATAAACGTCAATCCTGGCGAAATGTTGCATCAAAAATAAATTCACGAACGCCGATATCAAAAGTATGGAATATGATCCAGAAAATAAAAGGTAAGGGTTCTAAATCTAGCATTAAGCATATTAAAGATTGAGACGAATTATTAACTAGTAAATCTGATATTGCAAATAAACTTGGAGAAACTTTGGCCAAACACTCTTCCTCATCGAATTATTTACCTCAATTCCAAAATTATAAAAAACAGCAGGAAAAGAAAACTATTAATTTCAATTCAGATAATGGGGAAGATTACAATGAACTATTTTCTATTCATGAGCTTCATACTGCTCTTGACCAGGCTCACGATACTGCTACATGGGCTGATAACATACATTATCAGCTTCTGAAGCACTTACCGGAATCATGTTTAGAGACCCTCTTACACCTTTTTGATGATATTTGGTCATCAGGTAACTTTCCTCCCTCATGGCGTGACGCTACAGTCGTACCAATACCTCAACCTGGACGTGATCATACAGATCCATCAAATTATAGACCTATTTCACTAACTAGCTGTGTTTGCAAAACCATGGAACGCAGGATAAATAATCGACTTGTTTGGTACTTGGAAACATAACCTTATAACAGATATACAATGTGGTTTCCGTAAAAAACAGAAGTACTGTCGATCACTTAATGCGTTTGGAATCATTTGTTAAAAGCACACTAATTAATAAACAACACGCTGTGTCTATCTTTTTTGATCTTGAAAAGGCATATGACACTTACGTGGAAATATGGCATTTTAAAAGACTTACATGGCTTCGGGTTGCGAGGCCGTTTGCCTCAATTTATAGCCAACTTTTTAAAGGACAGACAATTTCAAGTCCCAGAGGTTCTACCCTGTCTGATCATTACAATCAGGATAAAGGTGTCCCTCAAGGCAGTATTTTGTATGTCACTTTATTTAGTATCAAGATTAACAGTTTATCCAAGGTTTTAAACGGTTCAATCGACAGATCACTTTTTGTGGATGATTTTAATATTTCTTGTCGCGGTAAAAAATATGCATACTATTGAACGACAATTGCGGTTGTGTTTAAATAAAATACATGAATGGTGTCTTGAAGCTGGCTTTAAATTTTCCAAGTCCAAAACTAATTGTCTACACTTTTGTAGAAAATATAAGCCGCATAAAGACCCAGAACTATTTTTAAATGGCACTCCAATCAAAGATGTCAAGGAGGCCAAGTTCTTGGGTCTAATTTTCGACTCCCATTTAACTTTATTGCCGGATATCAAATCCCTTAAAGCTAAATGCCTGAAGGCCCTTGATTTCTTGAAAGTTGTTTCCAACTCAAAGTGGGGACGGGATCAAGCTACCCTCCTCCACCTATACTGATCATTGGTCCGCTCGTAACTTGATTATGGCTCCATCGTATATGGTGGAGCCTGCAAATGCAACTTAAAACTTTTAGATTCTGTCCACCACCAAGGTCTGAGACTTTGTCTTGGGTCATTCAGAACATCTCCCGTTGACAGTCTCTATGTTGAGGCAGATGAGCCTTCTCTTACCCAACGCCGTATAAAATTATCATTACAATATATTACCAACCTATATTCTAACGAGTCTAATCCTGCTTTTAATTGTGTCTTTAATCCTCTCTATGAGGATTTGTACCACAAAAAGTCTTCTCTTGTTCCGCCTCTTGGACTAAGAATTCAACCCTTCTTTTCTGCTGCCGGCACTGAGCTGGACAATATAGCTCCTTCCCGTCTTCTTTCTTCTCCTCCTTGGCAATTAGTGAGACCACAAGTTGACCTCACACTGACAAAGTTTAGGAAAGCAGGAAATAATGAATTACAATATAAACAAGACAAGAAACAACTAAAAAAATATATAATACATACAAATCCTGAATTACAGATGGGTCCAAGGATGGTGGCGCAGTGGCATGTGCCACTGTCATTGGATCCCGAACAATATCTTCTCGACTACCTAATAACAGCTCTATTTTCACAGCAGAAGCTAACGCCATATTAACAGCTCTTCAATATTTTGTTCGGGTTAAATATTTGCCGTGACAAAAGGTTTAAGAATCCCCTTTGAACCAGCAAAATATAACACAGACAAGTCTAAAATATTCAATAATATATTGAACAAACAATGAGCAAGATACAATGAATCACAATACAGATTTCTTATACAATGCAATTGAGTCACAAATCTAAAGTTATAGGTCACATATATAAATATTAACTCACCAGAGTTTTGGTAATCACAGTGAGATCAGATATTGTAAATGGAGCTTGTTTACAAATGAAAGCAGTCAGGCACGAAGTGTCAGGGTCAGACGATGATGTGACGAAGGCAAACAACGATGGGCAACTCCAGTGAAAGATCCATGTAATTCCGTATGTTAGTCCGTGTGTCAGTCTTTTGTGTCGCACCACACAACAGCCAGCATTTATATATATTGACACAGATTCTCGAACTTTCCAGCAAAGCATGACTGTATCATTAAACACTTAGATCTTTCTCGAAACATGTTGAACATACCACATGACGATGTCAACACAAACATCCGGTCAAGGGAGGTAATTCTGGAGCGCTATCATAAAGGCGTGCCGCTAAAATACTGTTGCCACTAAAATACTGTTGCCACTGAACATATATCACTCAAAATGTGACCCACAACCAACACTCAAAACTTTAAACATTGTTCCTCATAAATATTAACCCCTAACCAATGTTATTACAAATTACAAAAAACACACTCTCGTAACAATATTAATAAACACCGTAAATATAAACAATACATAATATTTTCCGATTCTCTTTCGTGTCTTTAGGCTATTAAAAATATTTCTTGTAAACATCCACTTTTATTAGAAATTATTGAATTGTATAATGAACTTGCTACTGGCCAATGCGACATCCTCTTTTGTTGGTTACCCAGCCACGTTGGCATTTCTGGGAATATAATGGCTGATCTTGCTGCCAAGGCAGCACTTAACAAATCTGTTACACCACTTCTGATCCCATACTCTGATTACAAAGCTGCTATTAGATCTTATATCCGTCATCTGATGCAAAAGAAGTGGGACACCCAAGTAGGTATCAATACATTACATGCTATAAAACTAACTATCGGTTACACCTACTTGGGTTGTCAGTCCAGATTTGAAGAGGTCATCGTACGACGATGCCGTATTGGCCACACAAGATATACTCATGAGTACATATTAAAAGGTGAGGATCCTCCGTTTTGTATCCCTTGTGATGAAAGAATCACGGCCAAGCATGTCCTGCTTGACTGTGTTGAATATTCCATCACAAGGGATATCTATTTCAAATCACAAACTATGAAGGATCTTAATATAAGTTCTCGTTTAATTATTGCATTTTTAAAAGAATTAGACTTGTTAACTGATTTGTAAATAGATACATATTTTATTATTGGTAGTTTAGATTAGTACCTGAGATTGTTAGTGGCTGTACCCTCAAAGGGGGTTGAAGTAGCTTAAAATTATTGTCCTCCCGAGAGGGTACGTAAGTCCCGAAACATTCAAAGGAAATTTAAATATTACCAGCTGTTTTAAATGTAGTATTCTTGTCATTTTAATTTTGGCTAAATTTGACTTCAATCGCCATCGGCTGAAGGGGTGATATAAATCCAACTAGGGTCCATGCAGGTAGCAAAAGTACTGTGAGTCCCCATGGTCCCTAGTTTGGTGATCTACCTTCAGTTGTTGGCGATCTATTGCCAGTTTTTATATTGTATTGTCCAAATAGTGCTATCAGTTTTAACTTTCCACACTAGTTTTAGTTGTAATTGTGATATTCTAGTTGTTTTACTGTCCTTCGTCGACAGGTTTTTATAATATACATCTATTCCATTTCAATGTCACATATGTTCTCGTCACGATATGGCTGAAACATTGCCGATGTGACGTTAAATAATAACTCTCTCACTCAGTCATCGAGAGGAGAAAACGGAAATGCAACAATATCTTTGCAGTTGATGATTGGATGAATATAGTCAAGAAGGCAAGACTCAATTCTCCCATTTTTAAAGTCAACAAGGTATCAAACAATGACATAGGAGACATCAGAGGAACAGCAGAATCCAACATGAAAAAACAGCTGAAATCAGAGGATGGTGATCGCCTTCAGATCAGAAGTGTGATGTGGTTTTCCTATGGAGAGAGTACAGGGATCGACTATATCACTCTCGAGGAGAAAGTCACATCACATCCTGGGGAGGTCTGGTGCAGATACACATTCAGCACAATGGAACCCTGGAAGAAGATTCCTCTGCTCAAACGGGCTGGCAGTCTGGAGAAATCCTCTACTGTTCCAAAGACCTACTCTGGTCTCATTGGGCTAAAGCGTGCAAAGCTGAACGATCTGAGGAAGATTTCTGAAAAACACATTCCTCCTGAGTATCGACTATTGTACGAGTCTCTGCCATGTGTTGATGGAAATAGCACTGAGGAAGAAAGTGATTCAGATTAGGATGTCTTCGGTAATGCCTTACACTAACACAATCTTGTTAAACATCATGTATACCCATACAAAATATGTTTTTCAGGTTTATTCAGTATGACAAATTGTGTGTATTCTTGCAACCTTTGACTTAATTGAACTATACATTTGTGTCTGTTTCCAAATAATCAATCCTTACCTCATGACCTCATTTTAACACATTGAAAGATATTGTGCAAAATGTTTGGTTCTATATATTATTCACTGACACTTACATACTCACCTTCATGTACATAATTCTAAAATACCATTATTTTGTTTCAGAAATGTCACAGGAAAGTGATCTTCTCCATCTACCAGATGAGATTCTGCTCTATATTGTTATTCTGTTGGAAGTTTCCATTCCATTTATATTTGTCTACAACAAACTCAGCTTGGTTTGTATGAAGATGTATTTCCTTGTTAATCTTCCTGATCTTTGGAGAAAGATTTCTCTTAGACGATTTGGACCGATGAAATACACGCCTGGAGTCTTAGACAACATCTTCGCTCATGCCTCACACATGAAACACCTGTATTTTTCGGGAGATATTGGAACCATCAACCAAGATTATATATGCAGGAAACTGAGCATGTGCACTTCTCTGACGTCATTAGATCTTGGATGCAATTATTATTTGCAAAAACTGACTTTTTTGCCTGATCTGGTCTACCTAAAGAGATTTATCCTGGACTTTTCAAACATTCCATCAAATCAGTTTGCATTCATATGTTGTTGAAACATTACTCACTTGAGTTTTCATCACTGTGAAAGTTTAAAAATGGATGGTTTAAAACCTATCATGCGATCATGTTTTTGTATTTAATACTTACACATCAGAGGGTCATTTTGTATTTCTGTCAATGACACTCAGACCATTGTTTGGCATCTCCGATCTATGCAAATGCTTGTAGCTTCACCATCAATTGCGTGCAGCAAAGACGAATTTGACACCTTTTTTTACCCTATACCCTGGTCTTAAAGTGGAATTGTTTGAGGCACTTGACAACTGATTGAATTCAGGGGTTTTATTTGCTCAAGAGGTTCAGATTGTACGGTTACTTTTACTCGTTTTTGTTTACAAGTTCTATTTTCAAGAGGTCTATGTTTACATCCTTAGATTTCCTAGGCCAAACATTTCCACGATCTGTTTTTAATAAAATGTTGATTTTAGACGTGTTATGTGTTCTGTAAATGTTTCACAAGATTGCAGTACTTTCTGAATCTGCTTCATCTCCATCACGCCACAGAACAGTTGTACTTTAAACTATCATAAGTACAGACAACTCTTCAGACTTGCACAGGATGAAAATACAGGAGCTGTTATATTACCATAGAGTTACATGTTCACATTGTTCTCTGTAAATGCAAAAAGGGCACATGTGTCAAAACACATAAAGCCTCTTGCATCCACATTATTATGTATTATGTTTTTAATATACTTACAATGACTATATCTTGAAAACAAGGTTCAAAATTGTCAACTCTTATCATCATCAACTATATGAAATCATTTCTAAAAAATATTTTTGAAGAATAACCAAAATATATGTTTTGCTTATTTGCTCAGATAATAGAAATTGTAACATGTGACCTTTTTGCATGCACCCCTTCAATTCTACGTAGATGGCTATCAGTGAACGAGTGTTGGACCTACGACCTATTATTTTCAGCAATACAAGCCGATGCGAGAGCTTCCGATTTGTAGATCATGCGCAGACACGACTAAATTGTAGGTAATGTCGCTTTCTCTCGCAATGATATGGCTTTCTCGTCTCGTGATATCGCTTTCTCGCTTTCTCGCGGCTGCATTTTATGGCGAGAAAGCGATGGCCCTTATCAGTCACCGTAAATGTCTGCAGTAGGGCTGTGCAATATTACCGGTATGTACCGGTACAGTATCTCGCGATATGGTTCAGATTCTGCAATATATTGGGTCATTCCGAGTTATGTGACGTTTTGGAGGAATTACGTGACCTCAAATGCACCAGTCTTTTGCGAGAAGCACGAGTTAAGAATGGCAACTTCTTCTTGTGAAGGATCAAGCATACACTCCGAAACGTCGTGTTATTCACAATATAGAAGTTGACATCCATACATCTTGATTTTCTTATGCATTCCACTTCTAAATGCCCTTCTAAGATTTGACAAATCTTTTATTTGGACCATTTCACATTATCTTGTTATTTCTGTTTGTTTCATAATGGGACATATGTCATCAGGCCAAAGTCTTATACATTTTGTAGGACTGTATAATGACATTCTAGTCAAGGATCTTAGTTACTGGTGGTCACATGGGATTTTAAGCTCAAGTAGTTCACCTATATCATGTTTTTGTTTAATTTTGCAATAGTTCACCTTAACACGTTTATGTTGGAGTTGAATCTGAATGAATCACTGACATACAGTAACAATAATTACATACTGCATGAAAGTGCACACTGACCATGAAAACCATGTTATACTATTACCTTTATCATTATGTTCGCAAACCTTTGTTGCAATACAGTACTTCAGTTAAACATGCTACACTAAGGCTCTATATTACTTTATTTATCTGTAAACCATTGACATAAAGCCATACACAATGGGGACGGGTAGCCTGAAAGTATGGTGTGACAGCAATTAAGAAGATGATGTCGCACATTGAGAGCTATTATGAATTTATGATGTACGCACTTGGATAGAAACATTCCAGTCAATATATCACAATATGTATTGCAATAGGTCTTAAATTATTGCAATATATCGCGATATGAGAATCAGGGCAATATCCAGCCCCAGTCTGCAGTGCATGTTCGACATGGATTAGTTTCGGAATTGGAATCTGCAGAAATTATAGGTAAGCAGCTTTATAATATGTTATTACATTTCGTTGAATTGGTATTCGTTATGCAGTTTTACCATAAGAAATTCACTCTTGATCCAAATCTGCTTGTCATGATGACGCGTATCGATGTTCACAGTAAAATCACTGACGTATCCGCACCAGACCTTGGATATTTACATTTACATTATGAATCCAGACTACTTTAGCTACACTCCACAGTCATGAAGCCGGAATATTACTGAGAGCCACGCAAAACATAGTTGTCCCTTTGGGTTTAGTTTGGTTAAATGCAAGGACTATTGGGAGAGCATTGTCTACACAACAGAGGCATACCCACTATACCTTTCTCCTCAACAAGCATGTCTGCCATGCTCTGTACGGATGTACGGATTTCTGTTTCTCATCTCGAAGCACAACCAAAGAGACAGCGGAGGGCGAAAAATAGTGGGGTTATTTATTTGCTTTTCACTACTTATGTAGCTATTTTTTATGAAATGTTAAAATTTAGTAATTTTAATATATTTTAATATATAGTCTTTAAATCAGTTTATGATGTTGATCGCTTGTCTTGCTTACTGGTTTTATTTTCGTTGGTTTTATTATTTGTTTGTTTTGAGTGTGCAAGGGTCAGAGTGTCCTTTACTACACTAGCTCATACCATCATAAGGAATAAATATTTCAATGTGAAAACAGTCAAGAATTTTTTACCACTGTTAATTTCCATTTAATTACTGGGTTTTTAAAAGAAATTTATTTAATTGATGAATTGTGACTAATATGTTCTGTAGATAGATGTATTTGAATGATTGGTAGTTTAGATTAGTAACTTAGATTGTTAGTGGCTGTACCCTCAAAGGGGGGTTAAAGTATTGTAAAAGTATTGTCCTCCTGAGAGGGTACGTAAGTCCCGAAACATTTAAAGTACATTTCAACTTACCAGATTCTTTTGTGATTTTAATTCATGCTTTAATTCGACTACAATCTCCAGCGGCTGAAGGGATTATGTAAATCCAGCTAGGGTCCATGCAGGTAGCAAATGTACTGTAAGTCCCCATGGTCCCTAGTATGGTGATCTACCTTCAGTTGTTGGCGATCAATAGCCCATTTTTTACACTGTATTGTCCCAAAATACTTTTCTACTTTTAAAGATATATGCTAGATAGTTTTAACTCATTTTTGTGATAAACGCGTATTTTTACTGTCCTTCGTTGACAGGGTTTTATATGTTATATGTCTGTATGATGGACTTAGAGCTCGGTTTAGTCACGATATGGCTGAAATATTGCCGATGTGACTATAAATCTTAACTCACTCACTCACTCACTCACTCACATCTGCTCATAAATTTCCTGGAAACAAAGAATCGAGCCACGACCTGACAAAGGCGGTTAACTTTAGACTTGGCCAGCGCATGAGACACATCATTTTGAAGGTAATGGAGAACATTTGACCGCTTTGCTACAGTTCTATATTTTACAGATGGATCCAAGGATGGTTGAGCAGTTGCATCGTTTATACCGTTCGAAGTATTTATTTATTGGAAATATTATTGATATGACTTGGGGTTAACTTGTTTCACCATCACCGGTAACGACAGTAATTGTTATAGTGTCCATATATAGACGTATCACACGGGATCTGTTATGGATCAGGGGCGTCAGATCAGCCCATTTCCTTTCTTGCACACGTGTGTGTACCAATCCGACTTAAATGGTACGAGCCCGGTGTGTAATAAGGATGCCCTACTCACGAGTCTTCGAACCTTATCTTCGTAATATACACCAGGCAGGGAAACAACAAGTCCCATCTTTTAACGTTTTTGGCAAGATCAGAACAATGGATGGAACCGACACATGTATCTCTATGACCAGACGTTCTATCCATTGATACAGGAGAAATAAGGTTATAGTTTGGTTTGGTTGTTGTTTTACGCCGCACTCAGCAATATTCCAGCTATACCGCGGCGATCTGTAAGTAATCGAGTCTGGACCAGACAATCCAGTGATCAACAACATGAGCATCGATCTACGCAAATGGGATACGATGACGTGTGTCAACCAAGTCAGCGAGCCTGACCACCCGATCCCGTTAGTCGCCTCTTACCACAAGCATGGGTTGCTGAAGACCAATTCTAACGCGGATCGTCACGGGTAAATAAGGTTATAACATACCTGAATTAACATTGATTGAATGATTGTGTTGAGTTTTACGTCGTATCGGCATTATTTCGGCCATAAAGCGACGAGACCAAATCTGCATAGATACTCTTTGTAAGTAAAAAGTTTAAATGATTTTTTGAAAACCATATTTATTTATTCATTACATTATTATTTACAAAAAGAAAAAGTCACAGCACCAACCTGAATAAATAATCATCATATATAAAAACAACAATAAAAATATGAATATAATATAACAAAAATCGTAGGGATAAATATATAAATAAATTCATGAACAAAACGGACGGTTGTAGTGGTGTTCTGATGAGCGTTATTTGTTTTCTTCCTTGTATGCCTCAAAGCTTTCTTCGATTGCTACAAATATCTTCTTGACATCTCGCATGATGACGTAGTTTCTTGCGTCAATCTGAGTTGTATCTATGAGATTCCTGAAGATCGTTGGCATGATGTCACGAGACACATCTGCAGTAACGCTACGGTCTCTCAACATTGTGTGCAACTTACACAACATTTCAACGTTTTTCTGTTCGATGGTTCGTATTTTGTCGGAGTAGGCTCTTGTATTAAGCCGAGCACCTTCCAGGAAAACTCCGATCTTTGACAAACGTTCGATTTCCTTCTTGACCATGTCGTCTATCTGAAGTAGAATATATTATCATCAATATCAGGCTGATATCGCATTGTGTTAATTAAGGTTGTATGTTTCACAAACTATATCGTGATTTTGGAACATATGTACAACAGATGTTAACTGAGAAAGCGTTTTGTTTGAGAGATATAGATATGTACATATTTGAAAACATTTTGGTTTTCAGTGATTGAGAGACCTGCATTGCCATGTAAGATAAGATTAATATCAATCAGTGTTCTAGTTTTGACAATATGTTCTTAAGATTTTAACAGTTTATGTCTTTGAATAGTATACGATGGACTTTCAAGGAAGTAATGAAAAACATTCTCACATCTATGGCCACATTGACATGATGCGTCATTTTTTACATTTATTCTATATAAATCATAATTAAGTGTACTCGTCATATATCTTAATCTAGTGTGCATAACACTGAACTTCCTTATTCCATATGAATAATATATAGGTGCGCATTTTTCCTTCACTTGGATATAAGATTTAAACGAGGCAACAGAGTCGCAAACAGAGTCA